CTTACTCTACTCCTGCAGTTCTGCAGGAAAGGTCATCAGCATAAGTTAGGGAACAGAAGTGGCTGTCTAGATCTCCGAAGTTGAGCGCAGAGACAGTGTTGGTCTCTTGTGTGCCCATGTACTCTAAAAGTGCAAAACTCTTCGTGTCCAACACAATTTGCCTAGTACCAGTTCCCGACAGTGTCAGCCCCTTGACTGCAGGGCACACCAGAAATATTGTTGTGACTGATCGCTCATCTTCATGCTGCTGAACACAGTGAGCAACGTCACTGTCCCCTCAGCATGCCCTGGAGTCACTGCCTACTCCTAAACCTTCAGCAGGCTTCCATTTCCCGTGGGATCTTCCCTTAGTGTCTAAGGTCCTGTGGTCCTTCTTTTCCACATCTTCCCAGTGCATACCTCCATTCTCATCGGCTGCCCAGAGATAACCCTTACCAAGCACTTACTGTTAGTCTCCACTCACCCTGATCCATCTGTCTCCAGGAAAGCCTTACTCTTGCCTTCTAGTGTTCCAGAACCCAGGGCATCCTTCATACCCATGCAGCCTGCATCTGGCCCTTGCGTTTCCCTCTCTCAGAGATCTCTCCATCGCTGGCAGTCACACCATCCCCATATGTCCTTCAGCGGGCAGTTATTCCCAGACTTGTGTTGGCTATTCTGTCTTGTCTCCCCCAGCTAAGTTATGGCTGCCTGAGGATTGCTATCTCGAGGGACAGTTGGCATATTTTTACAGAGCTTATGAGTATCAGAGGACCGACCTGAGACGATCTATTTATGACTCCTATCCCGTCAGCCAAGCACACTCTCCAGCTCCATGTCTTAGAACCTAAATGGTGCGGACCATAGCAGCCCCAAGACTTCAGTGGAAGCTCTGGTATCTCCAAGCACTCTTGCTGCTGATTGTGAGTCACCACTCCTCTGTGGTGGCTGCCAGCCTCACTTTATGATTCACGCTCTAAAAGTGGGGTGAGGTTTTGACTGAGGAATTGATTCCAGTCTGAGCCTAGCCTCACAATTACTGGGTTCCTCTGTGGGTTTTGAGTAACTAGCACAGCGCTTCTCACGACAAGAACCTAGAAGGCATTTCACAGGGCATGCTGGGACATTCCCTGTAATAAGCATTCTGTCAGCCTTTCCTTGGACTGTTCAGTATTGACATCTGGCTCATGCCTGACCTGGGATGAATGAGCTAAGGAAGAGCAGAGAGTTCCCAGGGGCCCCGTCTTCCATTTATTCTTGCTGAGTGATGGTTTTAGTTTCTCACGCAGAATGTGCTTCTATCTGAAAAGAGGAAGCTGACCTTCTGGGCCCCGGAACCAAGCACTTAGCTCTACTTAGCATCTGAGGGACCTGTTCTCTCAGCAAACACAATGAGGGAAAGGGGAAATCACTGGGAAGAGGATGCCTAAGTGACAGAAATAGGGCAGCTCAATAAGTCTGTACTCTAATCCAAACACTTCTCCCAAAGAGCTGTGCCACCTCGAATGAGATGCGGAACAGCAGTGGTGACAATAGCGAACTCTTGCGTAGGGTTTGGAGCGGTGCCTGGCCCAGAGTAAACCCTCTGTAAGGTCACTGAAGATGGACCCTTAAAAGAAATCCCACACTAGCTTAGAATTGAGAAATAGATGGTTATTTATTTGGGGGTAGACTCACAAATTAGAATCCTCTGCTTGAACGGTGATCAGAAACCCAATCCTGCAGCTGGAAAAAGACCAGACACAATGCCCTACATCGGCTTATATGGTATAAGAGACCACGCCCCAGTGGGCGGGTAACCACTGGCTGTAAGACTTCCTACAGCAGGTCACCTGATATTGTCGTTGTCACTGTTTTGTTTCTTTCTGAGACAGAGTCTCACAAGCCCAGGCTGGTCTTAAACTGTATGTATAGCTAAGGATATTCTCGAACTTCTAATCCTCCTGCCTCCACCTTCCAAAGACTGGGATTGCAGGTGTGTGCCACCATGCTCAGTTTATCCAGTGGTGGGGTTGAGTTCAGGGCCTCGTGAATGCTAGGCCAGCAGTCCACCAGAGGCTCAATAACTCCAGCCTACCCTTGTCGTCAGTACAGAGGGCTTAGTATGCCCACTCCTAAACAACAGTGTTCATGATCCCACTGAGTGCTCTGAATGATGAAGTGAGTTTTGTTATTTCTAGTGTACAGAGGTAACCTGGGACTAAAGCAGCTTGAGTTACAAGTTCAAGCACTAGTTTTATCTCAGCTTGACAAAGGCTAGAGTCATCTGAGAGATGGGAACGCCAATTAAGAAAATGTCTCCATCAAGCCTAAGGAGCACTTTTTAAATTAGAGGTTGATGGGGAGGGCCCAGCCCATTGTGGGCGGGTCCACCTCTGGGCACGTTGCCCTGGGGTCTATAAGAAGCAAGCTAAGCCAGCCATGGAGAGCAAGCCAGTAAGCGGCACCCCTCCATGGTCTCTGCATCAGCTCCTGCCTCCAATCTGTTGACCTGTGTTTGATACCCAGAACTTACATAGTGAAAGGAGAGAACTGATTTCTGCAAATTATCCTCTGACCTCCACATGGTTTGCATGCACACACATACATAAATAAATGTGATTTAAACACACACACACACACTTAGGAGCTATGCTATTGATTCTGAAGAGCCTACCTATTCTTAGGATTCTCTGTTCCCTTTACCTTTTCTTTCCTTCTCCCTATCCATCCCTCCAAGCCCACTATCCACAGTTTTTGCTGGACTCACTCTTGTGGGATAAACTCCCATGGAGCCGTGACGCGGCGTGTGTCAGCACATGCCTTGCATTGTGGTTTTCTGTCTGAGAGGCGTAGTGGGGGGTGTGGCTTGACATTCAGCTACTGTTCCTGAGAAGATGAATCTGACTCTTCAGTTTTGCTGTCTTTTCCTGGCTCACAGCCATTACCACACTGAGTGACATCGGCCTTGACGTTGTTGGGGCTAGAGAGAAAAAAGTTTACAGGCTGCCACTCATGAGGACCAGTCCTTTGAGTGTGTGTTACTTGAGGTAAGACCTGGGTTAGGACAACAGTATTCTCCAGGCTGTTCGTACATGTCCAGTCCTGTGGCTGGTAAGGATCTCAGGGGAGGGCCTTGTAGTAGAGACTTCTGGACATTCCATCCTTCATGCGCATTGGGTGTCCTGGCAGATCTCCATAAAGGGAGTTTGTCCGGAAATGTCAATGCAATTCCCTTGTAGTTGATGTTTGGAAGCTACTTTAGTTGTGCTTTTTTTGTGGCTGTGACTCAAAGATTATAGCGGTTTTTGACATTAGGGGACCTGGGCTCGGGGACTGGATCTGTCACCCAGCAACTTCCATTTTCCAGTCTACCTGTTTGTTGTGGCCTCTATTTGATCTTTCTTTATATAGGAGGCTACCATGGAAACTGAGAGTCAGTTGCCCTGAAGCTGTGAATTTCTTTGACTTAAAAAGCCTAGAAGAAGCTTGTTGGGAATGTTAGGGCCCATTTTAGTGAATAAGTCACCTCATTTCTCTCTACTCAGATTTTTTTTTTAAATCTATAAAAGGACTATATTGTCACCTGCCTAGTCATCTAAAATGGATGGTGGGGGCTGTGAAAGCAACTCAGTTGGTAGGATGCTTGTCTGCTGTGCAGGAAGTTCCCTTAACTGCTTGTGCTGCTGTGTAACCGTAATCTCAGCATTCGGGGGTGGAGGCAAGGGGATGAGAGGTTCAAGGTCATCTTTGTCCATGTAGCCAGGATGGCCTCAGATACGTGAGAAGACTGTCTCAAACAAACAACAGCTGACCAGTATACTGACAACCTAAGTGACAGGTAGTATAAAAATAGGTTTCTGAGAATTATAAATTTTATAGAAACAGTTGCTTTAAGAACTATAAAACAAACTGGGCAGTGGTGGCACATGCCTTTAATCCCAGCGCTCGGGAGGCAGAGGCAGGTGGATCTCTGTGAGTTTGAGACCAGCCTGGTCTACAGAGCTCATTCGAGGACAGGCTCCACAGCTACAGAGAAATCCTGTCTCGAAAACCAAACCAAACCAAACCAAACCAAAACAAAACAAAACAAAAAAACCCCAAAACCTTCTCTCAGTATAAATTGTTCACTGTAGATGAAAATTTAGAGCAAAGTTTAACTTGTACTGCTATTGTGGAGGCTGAGTTACGTCCCTCTAGAAACCATCAGAACAGTGTATTTGCTTAGCAAGAACAATGGGGCCCGAGACAGACAGTAGCTCATTTGTGAAAGCACATTAATTTTGCACTAATTCTCATTTTATTCATTCATCATAAGATCAAGAGCTAGGTTCCAGTTGTAAAAAGACATTAATAACACAAAGAAAATTATAAGCCAATTAAATAATCTTGAACATTCACAGAACATAATTGCCTTACAAGGAAGGATTTGACATTTATACATTAATTCAAATTGACTGAGATTGAGAAATCAAATATTCCCCAACCTCTTACTTCAAATGAACAAGCGATGACTCTGTTATTGTTTTGTGTTGTTTTGTTTTTTTCCTGATTGGTTAATCATGCTTGGAGATGCTATCTGGTTACAGCTGGGTTTCTGCCAGAGATTCAGATTAGACTCACAAAAAGTAACATGCCTGAGGCAAGAAAGGGCTTCTGTTAAATGGGAAGGAGCATGCTTTTATTTCTCCATCTGGGTAAAAACCATTCAAGCATCTGAACAAGTTTCAATGCTCAATAATAACCAATAGCCTTCCATTATAGATAACAGTGTTTCCGAAAGAGAATGGTTGGGGAAATCAGGGAAGCTAATCTGAAAATGCTAAACTTTGAGTGGTTATTAAATGAGTGGTCTGATCTGACTCCTTATACAGGGATCTTGTGTTAATACAGAGGGTTTAGTAGAAAAAGACGAGGAGAGAGAAACATGGCGTGTTGGAAACTACCTGAAACCTCATTGTGGTGTTCAAAGCCCTAGGGCCTTTGTGGATTCAGTTTAATGTAATGTTTACCGATTTCAATTTCCTTTCTCATTTAAACAGATCTCTGCCTGGCAGATTAACCAAAGCCAAGGAGGACCAGTCTTGTGGCTGTTCTGATTGCTGGCATTCACCCACCTCTGTGATAGACTGGAGGCCCAAGCTCACGGTGCTGCTGCCCTGCTCGCCCCAGACATCTTTCTGGGGTCTACTTGAGGTCAGCAGGGTGAAGATGAGCAACATTCTCTTAGCATGACGACCTTGGACCATGTCGTCGCTACCCACCAGTCAGAGTGGGTCTCCTTCAGTGAAGAGCCCCTTTTCCCCGCCCCTTCAGAGGGTAAGGACAAGATTTCTTCAAGTGACAAGATTTGTGTCTGGTTCTTGATCATTCATGGGTGGGATTCTAATAAAGGAAAAAAGAAAAAAAAGCCATTTGGTCCCTTACCAGGGATATGCATGGTTTCTTTCATTCAGTAGCAAGAGGAGGTGTTTTGTTCACATGAGACTGCACTACAACCCTGGAGCACCAAAGGCGGGGCCTTATTTTTTTCCAGGAGACAAAACTTGTAATTACATACTGCTTTCCTGTTGGCCATTTTGGTGGGTACTCCCACCAACCCTTTGGATTTTTCTCAATTTTTAAAGTGTAATTGCTCGAAGTGACAGACAGGTTCTGAGCCAGATTGCAAATCTCTAACCTTGGCATGACCACAGATGGATGGTATGTTCTTGGGTGAACGATGTGTGTGTGGGGGTGAGATGGCGGGTGCGTGGCATGCGCACATGCCGTGCCCATCTATGCGGAGGCTCGAGCAGGACTCAGGAGTCATCATTCTCTGCCCTATTGTCTTGAGTCAGGATCTACCAACAAAACAGAAGCCTGTGTGTTAGCTAGGCTGGCTGACCACGATCTGCTTGTCTCTACCCAACGTTGTAGGTGTGTGCTGCCAGGCCTGGTCTACATGTGGGTACTGAGGACTTGAACTCAGGTCCTCACGCTTGCACAGCAAACCCTCTTGCCCACATCTTTCTGAAACATTTTATTTTGTTGCTTGGTGATTTGGTTTTTTGTTGTTGTTTTGTTTTGATTCTTTTTGAGACAGGGTTTTCCTGTGTATTTCTGACTGTCCTGAAACTCAATCTGTAGACCAGGCTGGCCTCAAACTCAGAGATCCACCTGCCTCTGCCCCTCCCCGCCAAGTGCTGGGACTAACAGCATGCCCCACCACACCTAGCTGGTTTTGTGTTTAATGTTTAGGACAGGTTTTTACACTATAATCTTGGCTGTTCTGGAAGTTACTATGTAGACTAAGCTGGCCATGACTCCCCAGCAACCCTCCTACCTCTCCCTCCAGAGTGCTGCAATTACCACCGCCGCCTTGTCTATATATAAGAGGAGTAATCACAGGGCCCTGCCTGGGGAGCTTCTGTGAGCATTTAGTCAGCAGATGTAAAATGCCTAGTGGAGTGCCTGGCTCACAAAAGGAGCTCAGCATCGTCATGGTAGAAGTGACCACATTGCCCTGTAGGACACTAGCGCTCCAGGGTGAAGGTCAAGGTAGACCCAGGGTGAAGGTCAAGGCAGACCCAGGGATATTTGCAGCACCAGGCCAGTTGGTCCTGCTCTGCTTCCCCTATACCTGCTGACACCTGCACAGATGGGAAGTGGCAGTCCACAGGTCTACAGCCCAGTGTGGTCACCATGTGGATGGTGAAGCCTAAAAATGTGGCAAATCTGAATGGAAACGTGGCCAAAGTGTCCTGCATGGAGATGTGCATTCTCTGAATTTCAAAGACCTAGTAAAGATCACATGTTTGGGGGGTTGGGAAGACAACTCACTCAGTGAAAGTGCTGGCTCTGCAAGCATGGGGGCCCTAATTTCAAGTGGCCAGGAGCCATGCTGTAAGTCCGGCATAGCTGCACACACCTCTAACCCCAGTCCTGGAGAGGACATGAAGTAGGCTTGCTGGGACTGGATGGCCACCAGCCTAACTCTGGATCCAGTGAGAGACCTGTCTCAAGGGAATAAAGCAAAGTGTGACAGGAAAAAATACTAGGCGATCTCTTCTGGCTGCCATACATGCATAGGCACATGTATGCACCTACCTCCACATATGTGCATTAAGCACAGAGACACACACTCAGACACTCACACAGTACACACAATTGTATCTTGTAGTGGTATTTCATTTGTATTTTAATAAATCAAGCTTGTCTGAGGCTCAGAAAAGTAAAGCAGCCACACTGGTCAGCCTTACAGACCAGGCAGCAATGACATACACCTTTAATCCCAGTTGCCACACTAGCTTGCCATAGAAACCAGGCGGTAGTCGTGCACACCCTTAACCACAGAACTAGAGAGGAATATAAAATGGGAGGAGACAGCTCTCAGTCTCAGTCTCATGAGATTCCTGGAGGCAGGATCACCGTTTTGGACTAAAGTATAGATAAGAGCCAGTGGCTGGCTGTTTTGCTTTTCTGACCTTCAGGTTGAACTCCAATTTCTGTCTCTGAGTTTTTAATTGATTGTGCTTCAGTATCTTATTAACAGTTTGGTTGGTTGGCTTTTTTTTTTTTGGCTCATGGAGACAAGTTTCTCTGTGTAACAGCCCCTGGTTATCCTAGAACTCACTCTGTAGACCAGGCTGGCCTCATAGTCACAGAAATCTTCCTGCCTCTGCCTCCCAAGTGCTGGAATTAAAGGCATGCACCAGCACCACCTGCTCCTTTTACCTTTTAAATGTAGAAACTAGAAAACTTAAGCTTATCCACGTGTCTCACCTTTTATTTTATTTTACTTAGATAGCGCTGGCGTCTTTGATTGTATAAAAAAACACTAGGATTATCCTATGATAGGAAAAGGATTTTCATATTATTTCTTTGACTTTTTAGAATCTTTCATATATAGGCTGTGAGATAGAAAAGTAGGTAAATGCTCATGTTACCAAGAGCTCATGTTCAAAGAGTCCCATACAGTAAAAGGACATTGTTTGCTATGTAGTTGATGGATTTTAACACATGTATAGATCTGTGTATTCAACCACCATAATCAGTGCCTATGCTTTACTGTAAAAAACAAGTTGTTTTTTTTTTCTCTGTCTTCCTGGACACAAAGTCCCACCCTTAACCAAGAAACCACTTGCAACTGCTACCTGCTGGGGAAAAAAAAATCCATTTTCTCAATGAGCGTCACTAGGGCTATCAATACCACTCCATGCCCACGTGTAGCTGGCCTACAGAAAACAGACTCTGCGTGGATGGATGTGCACATGCACATTTTTTGTTTGCTTTGTTTTTTCCTGTTTCTGTTTTGTTTGCTTTGAGACAGAAGGAGGAAGTACATGAACTTAAGTGGGTAGGGACCTTGGGAAGATCTAGGAAGAGTTTGGGAAGGAGAACAGATTAAGGAACAAGTTTTGAAGGGCATTAAGCATTTCAGGGCCAATGGGACAACATAAAGAAAAGGAAGAACCCCCGTGTCAAAGCTGCCAGTGATTCATGTGGGGTTTGCACGCGTGGCCTGCAGAGTAGCTGGTCCAGAACAGAGTTCCAAATGTGAACTGGAATTTCTTTAGTGCAGACGGAAGCTCCACTATTGGGCTGTAGTCCCCAGCACCTGACTGCTTCTCATTTGTCCCCATCAGCTCAGGAATATTTCTTGCTTGACCTCTATTGCCATTTGAATTTGTTTGCTCTCAAAACTGGGCACAGATACTAAGAGTAAAAATAATGAACAAGGGCTGGAGAGATGGCTTAGCAGATAAAGTGCCAGCTGTGCAAGCATTAGGACCTGGATTTAACCTCCAGTGCCCATGGAAAATTGCCAGCAGTGTGTGAGTACAGCCCCAGCATTGAGAGTGGGGAGGTACAGACAGGCAGAGCCCTGGGCTCACGGATCAGCCAGTCTAGCCAAATAGATAGATCTAGGAAAGACCCTGTCTCAGAAAGTAAGGTGGAGAGCAATTGAGAAAATCATCCTGGTATTGACCTCCAGCCTCCATAGGTGCATACACTGTGCACTGGGCAGTGCACCCCCTCACATGTGTACATCAAATGTGTCACCCCAAAAAGTAAAAAGCAATCAAGGAAGATGCCTGACATCAATCTCTGGCACACACACACACACTCACACACATTCTATACACTCAAACACACATAAATAAATACAATAATGGGGAATGTTTTTCTCAGTTCTCTGGGATAGTAGCTGGGAACAAAGGAGATTACAGGCTTTAAAAGTTATTAGGGACACAGCCCTTTAACACGGAGATGGATCGGCACGGCCCGTTTCATCTTCCAGTGAGTGGTGTGCCACCCCATCCCTTGGCTAGTCACTTCTGATGAGCATCCTTCCTTGCATGATGGTAGTGTTTGGTCCCCTCTGTAGGGGCCACAGAGGAACACTTCCCAGGATCATCGTCTTCCTCAGACCCGTCTGAGAGCTCCTCCGGGGAGAATCCTGCCGTGGATGGAGGCTGCCAGGACCTTTCCCACTCCGAGCAGGATGACGCCTCTGAGAAGATGGGTCTCATCTCTGAAGCGGCCACCCCTCCCGGGAGCCCAGTGCAGCCCACGCCTGACTTGGCCTCGGCCATCAGCAACTGGGTGCAGTTTGAAGATGATGCACCTTGGAGCAACACCTCACCACCTCACAAGGAAACCGGTGAGCTGGGGAGGATGTCAGGGAGGGTTCTGGCTTTGTACAGGCTCTTGAAGGGCTTTCCTGTGAGAGGTCTGTAAGGCTTCTGGGGCTCCAGAGTTTTGAGCTCCAGATCCTGGAAACGTATAGGAGAGAGCAAAGACCCCCATCTCTTTTCTGCTCCATGACAAGGCTTTGGTTGAAATATGTACACAAAGGGATTGGATTCTGGGTCATTTTCATTTTTGTTTTGTTTTTGAGACAGAGTTTCACTGTGTTGTGTAGCCCTGACAGTCCTGGACCTCGCTCTGTAGACCAGGCTGGCCTCAAACTCACCAAGATCCGCCTGTCTCTGCCTCCCGAGTGCTGAGATGAAAGGTGTGCACCACCACTGCCCAGCATGAGTACCTATATTTTTATCTATTATCAGAAATTGGAATTGCATTTACTCAGCTCCTGTACTGTAAGCTGCAGACACATGGAAATGAGTGTTTCTCCCGCGTAACTCACTCACCATCCCTAAACAGGGACCTCTGGCATCAGAGTCCTCGGGGTAGGAGACGGCCTTAAGTGGCAGAGCTCCTATTTTGTTGCACTTAAATGATCAGAAGCTGCACTGTGAACCTCAGAGAACACAGGGAATTGATCTCATCCCTACATATCCCCCAACCCACACCCCACTGCCCACCCTGACTCCCCATGCCCACCTAGTGACCTAGCCATTTACTGCACTATGTGCTCCAGCATGCCAAGGATGGTTTGATAGTCCTGTGATTGTTAAGTAAGTTAAGTTAGTCCTTAACTTACTGCTGTAACAAATGACCACAGACTTGGTGACTTAAACAGCGTGAGCTTATCACCTGTAATTCTGCCTTTCAATAGTCTGACATGGTGTTCTTTTTTTGTAGATTCTAGGGAAGTATCGGTTTCCTGGTCCTTCGTGGGTTTCATAGACCCCTTCCTCTGTCTCAAAAACCAGAGCGGTAGTATTATTCTGTGCCTTTATTCTGAAGTAGTATCTCTCCAGAGCTCCCTCTTCCATTTTTAAGGACTGTTATGGTTATGTTGGGCTCATATGAATAATTTCCCTATCTCACTGTCTCAGTCGATGTTCTGTTGCTGTGAAGAGCCACCATGACCATGGAAACTCCTATAAAGGAAAACATTTAATTGCAGTTGGCTTACAGCTTCAGAGGTTGAGTCCATTATTGTCGTGGTACACAGGCAGACATGGTGCTGGAGAGGTAGCTGAGAGTTCTACATCTGGATTGGCAGGCAGCAGGAAGGAGAGGGAGAGGGAGAGACTGGGCTTGGCTTGAGCATTTGAAACCCCAAATCCCACCCACACTGATATACTTCCTCCAACAAGGTCACACTTACTCCAACAAGGCCACACCTCCCAATCCCTGTAAAGTAGCACCACTCCCTAATGCCCAAACACCCAAATCCATGAGCCTATAGGAACCATTCTTGTTCAAATCACCATGTTCATGTTCCTTGTATCTGCTAAATCCCTTTGCCATGTAAGGTAATCCATTCACAGGTCTTGGGGGTTAGAAAGACATGCAGCGGGTGGAGGACATCATCCTATCTACTACAGAGTCATATTAATAAAAAGCAGAATTGGTATGTGTTTCTGTTGACGTGTTAACTATTTTGCTAGTTTTACTTCTAAAAATATGATCTGAAGTCAGGCCTAGTTGTAAAGCTTGGGGAAGTTTAGAAAAAGACCCTGTCCAAAAAAAAAAAAAGATGTAAAAGGCTGGTAGAGCATTGCCTTGCATACCTAGAGGTCTGCATGCAGTCCCTGTTGCTGGGGAGGGGGATTCAAAGGAAGCAGTGGTCTGAGCATGTTTGCAGTCTTGCTTGAGACGGGTCGTCACTTGAGCGCAGGAGTTTGAGACCAGTTTAGGCAGCATGGGAAGAACCTGCAGTGGTTTGAGTTAAAGCTGTCCCTGATAGGCTCAAGTATTTGAAAACTTGGTCCCAGTTGGGTGACACAGTTTGGGGAGGAACCTTTAGGAGGTGGAGCCTTACCAAAGGAAGGAAGCACACCAGTGAGAGCAGGCTTTGAGAGCTCATTGCCTCACCCAGCTTCCAGCTTGTTCTCTCTGCTTCCTTCATGTGGATGGGAGTGGACTCTCTTGGCTTCTAGCTCTGACTCTGGCTCTGCTAGCTTGCCATCACCACCAGGATGGATCCTAACCCCCTGGAACTGTAAGCCAAACAAGCTTTCCTCCCTGAGTTGCCCTTGATCCTAGTTGTTTTTTTTTTAATTACAGCAACAGAAAACTAACTAATGAAGACATCTTTCAAAAGAGATTCCTTTTTTCTAACATGCTTCCTTATCATTAAAAATAATTTCAAGAAAATATTCCGGTCTGGAGAGCTAGGCGGTTCAGGGGTTACGAGCTCTTGCTGCTCTTCCAGAGGACCTGGCTTTCAATCCTAGCACCTATGTTGGTGACTCACATCTGTAGCTTCAGTTCCAGGGGATCTAGTGTCCTTTTCTGGCTTCCTTGGGCACTGCATGCATGTGGTACACAGACATAAATGCAAGCAAAACACCTGTACATATAAAATGGAATTAAGTTGAGTTATAGAAGAAAATATAAAGTATGATTCTGCCATATAACAGGTGTTTCCATTTTGACAGGATACCTCAAGCATTTGGGTGTCATTTTTCATTTTTAATCACCAGGCTTTCAGCGACTTGCTGGTGACTGAGCCATGCTGTGACAGATCCAGACTGGTTCTGTCTGGCTGGGGAGTGAGGGAGCCACTCTTAGTGAACCTCTGACTCTGGCTTTCCAGCTCTACATACAGGAAAATTATGGAACACGGGGGCTGTGGTTTGAATGTTTTGTCTCTCCAGGATTTATGTTGAAATCGAATCACCAATCTTTTGGTATTATGGGGTCCTTTGGGAGGTGACTAGGTCATCTTGAGGGCGGACCCTTTGTGAAGGGGCTCAGCACCCCTCCCCCATGGCAATGTTTGTCTTTCTGCCATGTGAGAACACCAGCTGCTGTCTGTAAAGAATGGACCCTCACCAGGATCTTAATCTGGTATCTTTATTTTGACCTTCCCAGGCTCCTGATCTGTGAGGATTCAATTTATATTGTTTATAAATTACTTAATCCACGGTATCATAGTACGACAACAACAACAGAAAAGCTAATCATATGAATCAGTACAAAAGTGTGGATATTGTTATTACTATTTATTTTGTAGAAAGGATTTCATATAGCCCAGGCTAGCCTTTGACTCTCTAGCACAGACTGGCTAGCCTTGAACTTCTGATCCTCCTGCCTCCACCTCCATTATAGTGAGATTACAGACAGGCACCACAAGCCTGGCTGGTCTTTACTTTTGGTCAGTTACCTCTGTGGAATGCCGACTCTCAGCACTTTCCCTTTCTCTGTGAGGACACTGAGGCAGGTCGTGGTTTGAGAATTTGCTCCAGGTTAGAGGCTAAGAAGGGACAGAAAGGAGCTTTAACACCTGGCCTCAAGGCCTTGGAACAGCCAGAACTGTGCTGTGGTATTTGCCTCATGCCTCGCACTTCCTCTCACTGCCAGTGCTCTAGGCCCCTCTTCTCCTGAAATACACCGGAGGCGAGGGGAGTAAGGGGTAGGAGGTGATGGGAGGGCAGAAAGAACTCTCTTCTGAGTGTCCATGACTTCAGAGCCTTGATAATATTCAAAGTATCCAGATCCTTTCGCTTCTTGTTCAGACTTTACGTTTTGCCTCTAATTGCTCAAAACGATTAGGGTGAGAGATGGGGCAACTTGCCTCAACTTGTTACCACTTCCTTTGGTGAAGCTGATTTCAGAGTTAGTCTTAATTATGTTGTTTCCATCCAGCTAAAGATCCTGAATGGCTATTGACAATAATTTTAATATAGAGTTAAGACTTTATTACCTGAAGCAACGATAATAGCTCAGTTGGTAGAATGAGTGTCTAGCATGCATGGTAGGTGGGTTTGGTCATCAGCATTGTATAAAATGGCTGTGCTAATTCACACCTCTAATCCCAGCAGTCGGGAGGTGGGACCAGAGATTCAAGGTCAGTGTCAGCTTTGTAGCAAGATCAAGGTCATTCTGGGATACTTGAAACATCATCTCTAAAAATTTAATAATATAAAAATATCCGTGGTGAACAAAATATCGCACTTTAAAGACAAAATCCAGCTCAGACATGTAAGACTACATGCTCACCTTAGTCCTGGCAATAAAGCTTTATTGACAGCAGCAAAAGGCTAATGTCTGGGCCTTAGTTTGTTGGTTTGGTTTGATATTTTTAAGGTATCACATTTATAACATGTTGCAAAGTATTATTTTGACAGCTGAGATTTTTTGGTACATCGTAAATTGTGCACCCAAGACAATTATAATCATCTGCTGTACCCTAACCCTAGCCTTTGATTGAACTGAAAGTGTCTCAGTGTCCGTAGAAGACAAAGCAAAGAGTTACAACTATGAAAGACTAATTTTGTCTTGAAAATTGATTATATATCAATAATCCCATGCATTTCTGTGTCTGATGAACTCACTAGCTCTGTGAAGATGGAACTAATGCCTCAAGAGGAGCCTAGGAAGAAGCTAGACTGAACTATGCATAGGGCTGTCTGGTCCTCTAAGGCTCCATACAGAGCATTGGACTGGTTTAAGAACAGAGGATTAAGAAATTCAAGAGCCAGATTCTAAACCTGCCAGTGTACCTCTTGACCTTTGAGAAAGCAGGCTAAATAAAAGGCTACAGAATGCATTCTTACCATCGAAACCATCCTTTTCCTTGTGGGCCTGCTCCCCCTGGGCTTCCTCTCTTGGGCTGTATTTAACCACAAGAAGGATGGCTGGTAGAGTTCACAGCAAAGGAAAAGGAAGAGAAACTGGTTGTCAGTCCACTCAGTGTGGCCAACATAGACAGTCCGCAGGTTAGATCTTTGATCACTTTGGATGTTGGTGGATAGCTCAGATTTTAACTTAAGTGGAAAATGTGTGGATCATGTGTTATGTTAT